ACCATTAGGTCATCTTCACCACCCAGAGCAACGCTGCCCTGAGGCACCCAAGTCCCACGTTGGCTCCCAACCGAGTGATGCAGCTTTTGTGCTGCAGAAATATCCTCAGCCTGGGACATAGGCCAGCACCTCCACAGGGCACTGCCCTGCTCCATTAGAGATAACAACTTGCCCTGAGCTCCTGTACCGTGCCCTCAGCACCCCAACAGGCTCTATTAACAGAGCCCTTCTGAAAAATCTGTTTCTAGCAATAGATGCTGAACACAGGCAAACATGACGCCACATGTGGCGTAAGAAACACGAGCCATTTTCTCTTTCCTAGTCCCTATATTACCTGCACAAGCTGTAGACTTTGCCTTCCTGTGTAACTTCATGGAAATGTGATTTTCTCCAGACACGCTGTTAAAAAAAAAAAAAAAAGCCATCTGCCCTTGCAGATACTCTGCAGCCACCAGCTCTGCTTATTTTGTTTTTCTTCCTTTTCCAAGATGACACAGATTACAAAGATTTTCTAGATCTCTGCTAGATTCTTCCTGCAATCTTTTCATACTGGGATGAATGGTTCTGTCTGTTCCCACAACCAAGAAAAGTATCCCAGGAATGCATAATATGAAAGCCTGCTTCAAATGACCAAAACATTCTGTTCTCCATCTTTCCATCAGAAAAGGGGACAGCTGGATCTGAGTCACCTAGGCTCAGATTCAAAAAGGGGAATAGTTCTCAACTAAGTACAGATGTACATCCAAAAAATACCTTTCACCAGGAGCAATATGTCTGGATACGCAAGTATCTGCAATGCTGGCCAGGCATTAGAACAGCACACATTAAAAACACAGAAATAATTGGAGGTGCTTATACTTCAATTACTTCTCAAATGTGGTAGAGGAATAACACAAAACAAGGGTTGGAAGCAAAAGCCTTTGTCAGTCTTGGCAATATAGCCTACCCGCAAGTTTCTCAGCTTCATCCATTCCTCCTACCCTCAACAAGGCACATGAGGCACAAGCTTGCCATGTGGAATACCGTCCCATTCAAGATGAACAGAAGCAACGAAGCAGACTCCCAGATTCAGCACACTTCCCAGAAGAAAGCCCTCATGGGTATATGCCAATCTAAGGATCTGTTCACCTCGACATACGGAGCAAAACAACTGCAAGACACAGGAACAGGCTTCCAGACACCAGACTGAGTTGGCCCGAATCCTATCCTGTACCTGG